ACAAAGAAAATACACTCGAATTGCGAACCTCCTCCTTCTTTGGAAGTCGGTTAAAAATAAATATTGGCATTTATTTATTCACAAAACACATAAACAGTAATATAAGCGAATTATTATGCAATAAAATAGTCATGTGGACAAATAACATGAAAACTCAGCGTTGCTGACATACAGACTTCACCTATAGTTATACGCCTGCTGCACCAGATCGGCACGCGGAGTTTATATTAAGCACCAAATTATTATACAGATACTACATGTGTTACACTTTATGTAATAGTTGTAAAAATAAAAATGAGACGGTTACTTGCAATATTTAACTAAATAAATAACTCTCATTTAACGTACAATGGCACCATTAGAAGCAACATGTCGATTGTCCACAAGGCGTGTGATTTCTGAGTAATACTGGATTACTCACCGTTCACCTTTTTTTCAAGTCGGTTAAAAGTATAATTTATCTATTATACTATATATTATATTATATATTTCTTTCTCCATAGGTACTGCCGTCACGGCTAAAGATACGCTCGTACAAACTGAGGAAATTCCTTATAGAGCTTTGTGTCTTTACTCATTTAGATAGCGGTAAAATTTGTAACGGGTTTGTTTGTATTGATGCCTGAGAGTACTTACCGTTTTTCTTTATCCTGGTTTCAGAATAGTTTTGTCTGTGATTTTTTTTAGTTCTTGTATGTTTGTTATCGTAACAAATCGAAAAGCAACCAAATCTTTTAATAAAAACATGAGTTAAATTACATTACCGCGGATTTATATGTGAGTAGATAGAACGTCAATGGAAACTATATTAAATAATAATAAAAATAAATATACAGAGTGTTTTTTTAATGGAACGGTATGGGAAACTCCGAAACCATAGAAGGAAACTGGTTAGGAACCATGATGTCTTTTTTGTGAAAACAATTTTGCCATAATCAATTTTTTGATCATTTTTATGGACAACTCACGCTTGACGCTTGACTATGCCAAAACTTGACTATCACAAAAAGAGACTTAATGGTTCCTAAGGCAGTTTCCTAATGTGTTCTATGGTTTCGGATTTTCCCATACTGACCTGTTTAAAAAAACACTCTGTACAATAAATTCCCTGTACTATGAATGAATGAACGGCCATTCTCTAGAACACCCGCATCAGAACCAACTTAGAAAGGTTAATTTCCCGAAATGGTCCTTTCGGGAATCGAAGCCGGGATCTTCACATCTAGCGCCCACAGTGCTAGCCACTGGGCCAGCGAGGCCGTCATAGTATTGGATATAATTCGTTCCTTCACGCGCTTTCTTTATATTAAACTTTTACTGCCAAGGGTTCGATTCCCGGGCCGGTATAAATATTTGTATGGCCTACATTTATTTCTCCCGTGAGTTTGGTTGTAATTTGTGGTTGCATAAGTGTGTGTCCTTGGCGACACAAGGCTCCCCTAGTGCAGGGCTATGAGTGTGTGTTATTATTATTGAACAATCAATATTGAAACTTTTAAATATGAAATAATGTAAAATTTTCAACAAATTATCTTGAGAGTTCGTCAAAGTTGTAGTAATGTACGTATACATGTACTATAACCTCTTATCAAAATGGAGGTATGTCGTAATCGACTTTATATAACAGTGATAAAACTCAAATATGAGAGAATTTATCTCTACATTTTTTGGTTCCTTTTCGTTTTGTGGATATTTAGATAAAGTAGCATTCTTACTTCGATATTGTTATGTAATGTCCTCGCCATATTGCGGAATTTTAAGTCATTTCTTATGGTAATACTAATTTGGTAACACATTGGTAATTAGTCTAGCGGCCTCACTAACAGAAAATTAGCCTTTGTGGATTTTACTAAGGCTCAATTTACATTGCGGCGGAACGGAATAGAATGGAAATGGACGCGTCAATTTCGCATTCCAATGGTCGCGTATTCTAGCGATCGCGCCTTGAGGTTGTAGTCGACGTTCCCCGAGACTCCCCGCGGATTCGTCAATTCGAGAATTCTCGCGAATGCGCGAGCATTCTCGAACATGTGCGAGAATTCAGCGAAAGACGCGCGATGTGATTGTAATTCGCTTCCATTCCGTCCCGCCGCAATATGAATTGAGCCTAAAAGAGCAACAATCCTGCCAATGTCAGAGTTATTGCAAAATTTCGAAGTTAAAGGTATAATAAAGCAGCAAAAACAATTCAAATTTTAATTTAATATTTATTTCATGATTTCTTAGCTTAGTACAGGAAACATTTATAAAATAGCAGCTAGCCATAATGTTAAAATTATTATATAACATTTACACAAATATGTTCTTCATACCGTGCCTCTATATAGAGTTTGTTTCGTGACAAATTTGGAGTAAACTTAGAAATTATACATTACCCTTTATTTTAGCGCAGTCGAGTAAAAGATTACCACCAAAACGGTCAAGGTTTTTTGCCATACACTCGGAAAGGAAAACAGACTCTACGTGAGTAATTTTTACGGTTGTTTTTCCTCTGTGCAAATATGAGTGAAGTAGTCTTGTTACATATCATGTTTTTTGTTTTACGATCATTCATGTTTATTGGAGATTGTTTTCCTTTCTAAGTATGAATTTTAAATAGCTTTATTTACTCCTGTAAATAATGGGATTCTTTTGGTATATGTATACATATAAGTGTAGCGATGTATTAGGATTGTTACTAGGTTTTAAGAAAAGATGTCATTGTAATTCATTCTTTATTGCGTAGAACTTCGAGTGTTCAATCTACAAACTATCTATTTACAAGGCTTCGATATATTTGCATTCAAACAAAAATGTTACGCATACCAGACTCGGATTTAGTACGGATCGTATTTATAAAGAAAATTAAGCATATTGTACGTACTTATACATTTCAATTCATTATCTCAAATCGTTATTTCCAAAATGCGAATCTTAAAATAACATTTTTTTTGAGATTCCACAAACAGGTTTGATGATCAAGATATACCACTTTCACCCCTCTCTTTGGATGTGCATGGGGAAGACCTGATAAGTAATAATAATGTGCCAAACTACCACATCAATTACCGTGTCTCAAACGGGGGAATATCCAGTTTTTGACCACCAGTGCAACGTATTATCTCCAGGGGGCACTACTGAGAAAACCCAGATCAGAATCAATTTAGAAAAGTTCGTTTTCCAAATTGGTCCTACCGAGAATCGAAACCGGAACCTACTCTTCACAGTGCCAACCGTAAAGGTCACGGAGGTCGTTGAGTAAGTAATGTTGCCGGCCCAAGCTATGCCCTGTTCGATTTTTGTATTAATTTATAGCAAACAACATAAAATAACAAAATTTAAAACTAGAGGCTCGGTACAATAGTATATATCTCTAAAAATCTCACTTTGCTCTTCATACTGAAGCCACGTTTACAAAATTAACATACGCGATGAAACTGTTAAGTCTTGGTCATTCATAGGATTGTTTAAAATAAAACCAGCCAATTATTTTCATAACATCGATAGAAGATCAAAACGTGGCCTCTGTGCTTCTCGATGAAAAAATCTACATTTATGTATGTATGTATATATAATGTGCGCTTTTTTTAGACACTACTTGTAAAATACATTTGGTAAAATCCGATTTAACAACTAATGAACAGTAATTTTTGTATGTTTGACTTAGTTGTGATTACGGCCCAATAAGGGCCACAACTGCATGGTACAAACACTTAAAATTTACATGACCTATCAACTTTACATACAAACTTGATACCAAATTATAAAAAAAAAGTTCTACACTGTGTTCGCATTACGATGACAAAACTTCTAAATGCTACATTCGTCAAACGACTTTAATATCCGGTTAGTCCGTATAAAATTGCCAATAGAAAAGGGAACATTTACTTCGAAGCATTCTTAAATACATAGCACGATGTCCAAACGAGTCGGTTGGGGAAACTAGCACAAATACGACACACAGGCTAGGCTAATATCACAGGAGTGCTGGGAACGGTGCGGAGCCCCGCCCGCTCGCCTCTTCCCCTCTACTCCCCAACTGCCACCCTCCCCGTCTCCTTCCACTTTACCAGATCCAAACCTCACCCCCGCGCTCGTCCGCGCTCCTATTTACTATTCAGAAGGGGCGATACGGGCTACTACCAATATATTTTGCGACAATTAAGATTTCAAAAGAAAAGGAACTGAATTTCTGCACTCGGATTGCACAATTTATCGATCGATCGTTTACGAACTTATTGCACAACCACAGTTTCATGAGTATGCTCGTTCCTCATACGTTTGATCTTTTTACATTGCCCTAACATAATTAAAATGACACAAGAGCTTACACTCGTCGCAGTGAAAGCGTACAGAGACACACATTAACCAAAAATATCATAATGGTAACAAAACTTAAAATGCTGACACAAGGTAACAAACAAAAACGCCCAAATAAACTAAAAGCGATAATGTTCAACAAAACTCATTCAAAGTAATATTCAGACTTGTTGAAATGCGACGCATGACTAAACGTCGGAGCGTTGGGCCAAACATTGGCCCAACCTGCTCCGAACAAAGAGCAGGTATTGCCCCGTACAATAATACCACAGAGTGTTGCCTGCGTCCAACACCACATACGGACGACATTGTTGTTAGGTCGCTACTTAATTCACTTCAAAAAGTAGCAAACACGTATCACGTAACGCGTTGATCGCTCAACGGTAGATATTTTACTAAAAAGCGTAATCTCACGGGCCTTAGGTACCGGTAGAGCGAACTTTTACTTTCGAAGCCGTCACTCGTTAGAAACGGCCGTCGTCCCAATTACATTGTGTTCGACGCCGACTCAATCCATGGCCGAGTCTTAAAATAATATTCTGATCTCACATAAGGCAGCACGAAAATAATACTAACTAAAGTAAAGCGAGGAAGAATCATCACGAGCTCTAGCGCTTCCGTTCCCAGTCGTTTTGCACTATCTCTTAACCACTAAATTTAATTATTTATAGTACAGTAATGTAACATAATTACCGCTTACAACTATTACTCCTTCAATGCGAATCTTAAACTTCCTCACTATTATCTCGTTACGCGTCATCGCAGGCGACGTCACGACATGGCGACAAACGCTCATCCAAGTCCTAGTCCGACAATAAAAATGATCGATGAACACTAATTGGACCGCGCCCGTCGGCAGCGCCTGAGCAACTTTCACTAAATAATAAAAAACACGCTAACAAAGTAAGTACTCTTCTATAACAAAGAATTGGCTAAACGTTACTGTCCATCGGGGGTAACAAATACATAATAGTCTGGTCCATTGAGCGACCGCTATAGAGCGGCTTCCCGAACGCATCGCGAAATATTCGAACAGTCGAAGTGCGCGCTCGAAATGCAGTGTCCGGTAACGCGGTCAGCGACTCGTGCATTTGGGCCACGCGAGCATATCACTCGGACGCTCGCATCACAGCGGGGTGTGTAGGTGCGCGGAGCGGCGCGGTCATGAGTCGAGCACCGTTAGCAGCGAGGGCGGCAGCAACGCCACGTCCTGCCGGGGCATCTGTCGCGCCAGCTGTGCGCATCCCAGGTTCACGTCGCCTAGTTCAGGGATAGCATCTAGCAGTGCCAGGCACTCGTCTTCGACCGCGCGCCGAGCTTTCTTTCCCACCCAGGAGTCGTCGCACTCCTCGCGCGCACGTCGTCGTCTGGCCTCCTTTTCTCTGCGCGCTTCCTCGCTGAGCCTGCAGTATGTGTTATTGATGCAAACGGAACGACGAAGGTCGCGAGCGGGGTCCTCGATGTTCTCTAGTTTCTGGGAACAGATCTCGATGACGCGCTTGCGCTCCTCGTTAGCGCGCAGACGCGCAGAGATCATGGAGAGCTTGGGGCGAGCGGCGGGCTCAGTGCGCGGTGGGCCGAACATGTCGTCCTCGAAAGCGTCGGCGATCTCCGCCCCGCGCGCGCTCTCCCGCTCCTCTTGCGGAGTCATTCTGTAACAAGCAGACAGCAGATATTAGCATTCGTTAGTGATCCGAAAATTGCGCAAAATAAATGCTGCGACACAGATATACCTATCTTAAGAACTAAAAGTAACAGTCTATTTCTTAATTTAGTCAAGGCAGTTTCAGGCGCAAAATTTACACGATTTGCTGATCGAAGATCACCTGTCCACCTCACTGCAAGAATTTACGTATATTTGTTCGGGGAATGCCACCAATTCTAGGAGAAGCATAATGATTTCACAATGTTAAGTACTAGGTCAAAGAACAATGCATTAACGGCTCAACGAGCCAATCAGGTTCACAACTTGTTACTAGCTCTCCATTCGCGGATATTTCAAAGAACGAGATGAAGTAAACAAGTTTATAAGAGAATCTGTAAAAACCAACCTGAGAGATAAATCTGGGGATAAGATGAAAAACCCTGACATAAACATGATGGCTGTTCCGAGACCTAATTATTAAAACAGTTCCAATGTCACACACAAAGTTCAAAACACTGGCACGATAGAGCGCGCAATTCGCCACTCTGTCCTCGACGACGAAAAGGTACAAAGACACAAGTGAAACAAAAATAACTGAGCGCGAGAGACGTGTGCGCAGCGAGGCGGTCACTCGGCGAATGACAACATACTTCACTGTAGATAAGACATTGAAAAAGCCAATTGCGTCATTCGTGTACGACTACGTACGAGCGGGCCGCGGAGAGGAAACGGGTGACGTAGCCGCCGCCCGCGCCGCCGTCATTGGTCGCCATTGACTGGTCATGACTTGTTATAATTGTTATAGTAGTGGTGAAAACTTGATATAAGATTAACCATATAAGATGAAATCACAACAACGTAAGTCCCGAAACTCCCGGATGGACTTGTAAATATTCATTTATTTGGACGACGAGGAAAATGAGAGAAATTTTCCTGAAAAGGATTTGTATATCCGAATTGCCGTAGGACGTGTGATATGCTCCAAACACTGACGCAGTCCTTATTGAGTGGATAAATAAGTGTTATCTATTTCGGTAATTCGTTAATGTCACGTGCTGGTATGCTGTCTTAATAACATTCTTGTTTTCAGGTCACTCGTTGGCATCATTTAGAGTATATACAAAAATCGACATAATTTATTTTGCTTTAGAAAAATGGATATCAATGAACAAAATTTAGACATTGGAAAAGAATAAACCGAAAGAAATGTTAATACGTACGACATCTAGATGTTGGAGTGGAAGATACTCGAGTGTAACAAGTACTCATTGAGGACGCTTGAGGTTTTTAAGGTTGCTTGCAAGTACAGTTCCCATTTGTTGCTATCTCCATTATAAGTTGTGTTTCTATATTGTTTCTTCTGGGATAAAAGTATGAAATTCGGGATAATCAAAACAAAATCATCGTCAACGCGATCAACATTTCTGAGAAAACCCAAAAAAAACCAAAGAATGCCGAGCAAATCCACGTCACAAGCCGTAGATGGATAAGACTAACACAAGATTGTGCTGGATAGCAACTATGGAAGGTCTACATGCAGTAGTAGATGAAGTTGGACTGTAGATGGTAATGATTAAACTTTTAATTACAAGTGTCATCCTTCTCATCCTCAACGTACGCTTCCTGCACCTGACGTGCACAAAAATATAAATCAACAACAAACAAATCGTGACAAAAAATATCAATAATGCAATTCGCCAGATTTAGCCATTTTTATGCAACTATAACAATTAAAAAGGACCGCTCTGAATCTTAGCTGGTTCAAGTGTTCCCATAGCACTGGCAGCATTACCGCGCTGAATGGTCAACGACATTTGTTGCACCAACTAAGATCCAGAGCGTGGATCAACAGCATCTATCTCTAAGCCGACGACCCAACTCCCTGATGAATTCTTTGGCTTCCGAACCCCAAGTCCCCGCAGTCTCCACTGCAATTGGCAAAAAATCGTAAAACGGTTCCAAGGCACTTACCTACCTGGCATGTGTAAATTCTATTTAAAATTTTTAAATGGGTAACTACCGTGAATCTCAAGACATGTTTCGAATCAGTCCATGGTCAGTTTTCGTCGAGTTTTCGGCGGAAGATCATGATTAAGGAACACGGACTGGTTCGATATATATGGAGCAAAAATTGGACCCAAACGCACGAGTTTAGTTAATATGATTAAATTATAGATGGCGCTACGGTTAAAAAGTCGTTGAAAACCAAATACAAAGATCCGACAGAAAAATTCGTGAGGTCCACTGCTTCGTTCCGTTGCTTAGTTGGCATAGAGTCTGATAAGGTTTGCTAGAAGACGTCGGTTCGAATCCGGCCGGATTAAAGGAATTTTTCTAAGAGTTCGGTCTTTGTATTAATAATTACAACAAACTAGTAGAGTAATTTGACAAAAAATAGCTCAAAAAACTTATTAAAATTTAATTTGAGTAAAAATGTCTTCACAGTTAACTAGTGATATGGAATACTAAAACTTTTGCTACTTGTAATTACTTCCTTACTTTGTGTGTATAGGGTTTATTTACACAAAGTAAGCAGGTAATGGGAAGAGGTGTATTAGGTGCGTAACGAATGGAGGTCTAGTCTTTGCCTGCCCCTGTGGGAAACTGCCGTGATATAATGTGCGTACCTCTATATAGTGAAAGTAACATAGAGACCGTAAATCAATCGTAACATATTCTGGCGCTTAAGGGAGTTGGCCATAACCACAGGTCTATTCTACTGATTTATATTTACATAGGAGTGATAGTATATTATGTAAAAATATAAATATATCGTAGTGCGGTTGTAGCTCAGAGGAAAATGGTTGGCAGAATACATTTGTGACTTTAATTTCTAATAGGAAACGAAACAATTTTCCCGGATTTAAATCGCGTATATTTGTTTTCTCAAACAAACCAACGTATCGGGTCCTTTCCTAGAAAACCTAAGAATTAAATTTCTAATTTATCTTTAATATCTCTCAAAAACAGTACAGGAAACCTAAAGTGTGAAATATCCTTAGTCCAGGGTGGCGGACTATGACTCCTCCTTGAGTGACCTCCAAAGAGAGGGTTTACTATTTGGAGGATACTCGTACACAGTAGTAGGTTAAAAGGTTTTTATTATTATTATTGTTTATATTAAAAACGTGATGGAAAGTGACTATGAAGTCGACGATTGAGCATACACACCTATATAATGCCTATCCGCATTCGCCTTGAAAAGGCACAAGTTATACTGTTCAGGGAACAAGTTTGTGGGTAGGGGATTCCACTCCGTTCGCCGTTCGCCATATAAATGTAGAAGCGAAACGCTTCGTAGGAATCCTTGGAACATCCGCAACATAGGGATGGAACCCCAGCCTCCGTGTAGTCCCCGGACGATGGCAAGGGAAAGCGGAATAATTCGTGTAATTATCATCGCAGTACAATTATTATCATCAACTGCCTCCGTCGCCGAACGGTTACATTACTGGAGTGCCACGCAATGCAGAGGTCCCGGGTTCGATTCCCAGGTTGGGAGAAATATTTGTATGGCCTACATTTATTTCACCCGTGACTTTGAGTGTAATTTATGGTCGTGCGGGGCTACGAGTGTATGTGTTATATAATTCCTTCGCACACTCTCCGTGATATATCTTGTTGCCTCAACGTGGCTACTGCTCTACCAACTTAGCTATATATCTTACGAATTTCTCTATTATATATATCTAATTTTTAACAAATTAAACTGTCCCTTTTCCATCAAAAAAAGCTGAATATTATTTTATAATGATTACACTTAAAAATGATTAATGAACAATATAGCTAAAGAATAATTGACCTCAATAACATATTTTGTCTTTATGACATAAAGGCGAACGTGAGCAATCCAGTATTACTCAGAAATCACACGCCTTGTGGACAATCGGCATGTTGCTTCTAATGGTGCCATTGTACGTTAAACGAGAGTTATTTATTTAGTTAAATATTGCAAGTAACCGTCTCATTTTTATTTTTACAACTATTACACAAAGTGTAACACATACAGTCTCTGTGTAATAACTTGGTGCTTAGTATAAACTCCGCGTGCCGGTCTGGTGCAGCAAGCGTATAACTATAGGTGACGTCTGGAGATCAGCAATGCTGAGTCTTCATGTTATTTGTCCACATTACTATTTTATTGCATAATAATTCGCTTATGTGTTTTGTGAATAAATAAATGGCAATATTTATTTTTGACCGACTTCAAAAGAAGGTGGAGGTTCGCGATTCGACTGTTTTTTTTTATATATGTTACGCGATGACTCCGGATTTATTAACCGATTTTGATGATCCTTTTTTTGTTAGAAGGAGGGTATATAAAATATTCCACCTCTAAAGGTGGCAAACTAGGGAATGAATCCGGTTTCGCGCACTTTCCGGTAACCGATTTCAATAAAATTTGACAAATAGATGTAATGAACTTTTGCGGTCGGTTTTTTTATATGAAAAAGTTACAATCATATTGAATATCATGATATTCATATATTGTGAAAATACTGCACTAGTTTGTTATTATTAATGATACAAAGATCGAACAAATCCGACTGGACTCGAACCACATATCTGTGTTTCTAGTGCAGTCGGATCGTGGGATTTTTTCTTTGTGTTTTGTTCGATCTTCGTATCAATAATAATAAATGAATAGTCTTTTTATGTTATTTTTTATTAATTAATTATCTTTTATTATGTGACGGCTGCGGACGCTCAGTAGTTAACACTAAGAGCGTTTGTGCACTACGTCCAATTCGTACGAGTTTAGAATCTCAATCGACATCTGAAGTGGGATCGAATTTTCTAGATTTGTGTAGTCGCGGCTTCGGGACAATTAAAAATCGGATGCAGTGGGTAAATGTGCTTAGGGTGCTTCGTGACTTTATTTTTTTTTAACTGCCTCTGTGGCCGAACGGTTACCATATCGGACCGCCATGCAGAGGTTCGATTCCCGGGCCGGGAGAAATATTTGTATGGCCTACATTTATTTCTCTCGTGAGTTTGGGTGTAAATTGTGGTTGTCTATGGCACCCGCTACACAGGGTCTTCCCTAGTACTATTAAAACCTATTTATAATAAAACGTATATTAGCATAGGTTTGTGGAAGTCATTAATCCGTAATATTAAAAAAGAAACATAATTTTCGTAGGCAAATGAAACAGAGACGGTCTGGAGAGTTATCACGCGCTACCTATTTCCACCGCGCAGTAGTAATCCTGTGTTCCAGATTAGAGGGTAGGGAAGAGCCGGAACGCGTTTAGATGTTATGAGTACTTCCTTTGTAACGCAAATGTCTAAAGGCTGCGATAACCACTTTACTTTTAGTTCAGTTTAGATGGACCATTTGTCCGCTTGCCGGTATATGTTTGCAACCTGATATTGAAGCCGAGACCAAGATTTGAGTATCAGTAAACTTTACTATCCACTAATTGCCAATTAAAATACCTATTAAGGAGCTTCAACTACTTTAAAACCTAGCAAGTCTCGAATACTTGCTATGTTTAGAATTGGTTTCAAGTTTTTTTAATCGACTTCAAAAAAGGAGGAGGTTTTCAATTCGACTGTATGTTCTTTTTTATGTATATATGTTACGCGATAACTCCGGTATTTGTGAACCGATTTTCATGATTCTTTTTTTGTTGGAAACGGGGTACTTCCATAGTGGTCCCATTTCATTTTGAAGAAAATCATCCACCTCGAAGGGTGTCTGATCACGCATGAAGATTC